TTTTGTTCCCAGAGCTTTAATTTCAATTCCTCCCGTTTCGTTCGTTGATTGTACTGTTTATTTGATCGGGTGTCTGTGTGTACTTCATGGCGTTCTCGACTTGCCTTTGTTTGAACATCGATTGGAGCAAGGGAATGTAAGTGCCATCTCCCTCCGACGACGAATCCTATCAATTGTGCGGTGACCTTCCTACCAGTCAGGGGTACGTCGATACTCTAATAAATTTGTTTAATCAAAAAAGCGTCAATGCCTCGTTATTCGCGTGTGCTGGGTCGACCCATTTCAGACGGTACCTATTTGGGGCATGAAATATTAGGGTGGGCTAGTTGGTTAAACATACTGATAATATAAAACGCAAAGGGACAGACACGAATATAAGGTAGGCAGGACAGCGCTATTAGCCCCGAGAAGTTCGCATGGCGCCCCCTTATGGCGAACCGGGGTGACGTCACGGCGAGGAGAGAATTTTCCCCGACTCGCCCCGCTCGCCGTGTGGAGCCTGTGACGACGTTAGCTGTCGGCGCGCTCGTTTCTATTTAATTTTTAATGTGCGTGTTTTTCGTAGGAGGTGCAAATTTTGATATGTGGTTTTATCGAGGTATGGTTGACAGTGCAGGCAACGCATTAATCGCTGCTGGCATATGAAAATAAAGAAATGGGGCCACAATTGCAGGAGCATCACTGTAGATTTACATCTCACACAATAAATGCTGCGGATGGTCTGAATGAATTGGCAGGTCATGTATAGTATTTCATTTTTTTATTAAATTTCTGTTTTAAACAAGATCGCCGAAACAGAAAAGCTGCATGTTGCTCGAGCAACAAGTTAAATACAGTCTGGGCCAGGGACAGAGAATCACAAGTAAGGCAGCCCAAATACAGGGGCGAAGTAAACAAAGAAGGAACATTTATTTATATACGTTGCTCGCATTTGACCTTTTCTGGATTCGGATAGTATTTCAATGGACTACACTGGTGGTATCTGTGCACTTGTTTATATCATCCCTCAAGTAATGTACAACAAACGTAAGCGAAGGTGTCTAACCCGTTATTAGTCTCTAAGGCTCTAAAATTGAGATTTTAGCTAAATCAAATTGTCCTGAAGCTAAAATACCGGAAGATTTTCTCACGCAAACTGTCACCCTTCACAGGTTCCACATTTTCTGCTACTAGTGCAGCATCTACCACTGGACAGCCGTTCGAATGTTTGCTGTTCCTCCTGTTTTCCTTTATTTTCTGAGAGTCCAGCTGCAGTGAATTTGGAGGCTGAGAAAGCTTTTGGGGACCTGCAGCACTGTCTCTCTTAGTTGGAAATTACAATTCAAACTAAACGCTGTATTTTCCGAATACCCAAGGCTGGAGTAAAGAAAGAATGTCAGAAAAAAGTATAAACATTACAAACTACAGTACTATTGCTGTGCATATTTTGGGCAGTTCAATACGTCTCATACTGGCAACTGAGGGCAATTCGGGAGTTTTTCTGCTACCATGCTAGCAGAGGCATACAAACTAATTTCCGGTAATTGAGCATCTTCTAAAAAATAAAACATGCCTGCATACGTGTGTGAGCTATATCAATATTTCACGAAGAATCTACATTTATGTAAACCAATCCTGTTCCACGAGCACCTCAAAGGTTTTCAGACCCAGGGCCTTTAATACATTTGCGAACCAGCGCATGCAGCGTGGCACGCGCAGGGTCGCGGTCGCGAGCTAATGTGCCGACCACCCAAAGGCTCTTGATATAAATGCCAATTCAAATGCCTGCAAAGCGGAATGTAATATTCCCCTAAATCATGAACACGCAAGGAACAGAATTCCAGCGTCTGAAACACTTACGCCGCCACTCCACCGACCCCTCGCAAGATTGCTTTGTGTATAGCATGGGCGGAGGGGGATATTCATAGGCGGAATTGCCTTCCTCCGATAGCTTTCGGGATTTGTAACCCAATTATAAAGGTAAAGGTGACAAGCAGGCTTACAAAATGTACGGAAGCACGCCAAGATCGGACTAACCCAGCGTCTTGTACACCGGATAAACGAGGTCAATCCCGCTCCTCGAAGTGCTTACGGCACACAACGCCAAACCAGGAAACCGTGGCAGGGAAGCGAGCCGGATGCGGAGATCGCGGAACGGAGCCCTTCCCCTGACGTCACGGTACACCTCACCCAATCAGGGCGCGGCGACCACAGCGCCGCTTGTGTTCGCTCTCGGGGCTAATAGGAATAGCGTAGTCCTGTCTACTTCATGTTTTTGTGTCTGTCCATTTGTGCTTTATATTATCAGCGCTTTTTTTTGCGAACGAAGGATTTGCCGCAGAAAGGTACCGTATCAATCTGGTGCCGGTATCCAACGGGTACCCGTATTGAACGGGTAACCGTATCCAAACATGTACAAGTTACTCAAAAAAGTAAATAGGTTAAGTTACTGAGTATTGGCCTCAAACGTAATTTGAGTGGAGTAGAAGTTACTCAATTGCAAAGCAATTGAGTAAATTACTAACCACCGTAACAAAGTAGTGAAATACGTTTGAAGTTACTCTTATATTCTTTATAGTAACAAGAAAGTATATAAATGTTTTGATTCGCTAGCAAAATTCTTCTCGCCAAATATAAAGCGGCTTGTGTTTTCACATAAATTCTTTATTAGCTGGTTCAGCCTTTGTGCGATTAATTGTTTTGTAGTGTTTGTTTTCTGGTCAATGATGTACTGCGGATGTATAATTTCTACTTTGAGGTTTAGCGCTGACTGAGCTTGATTTTGCAGACAGTGCTTGCTTGTTTACACTGTTGCGTAAAGTACACCTAAAAAGTACCTCCAAAGTACATGTAAAGTGCAAAATCAATTGGAGGTTATATACTTCAAGTATCGTAAGTACACTGGGTGCAATGTACTTGAACAAAAGAACTATTAAATACAAGATATGCTTAAAGTAAAGTACAAATACTTTTTAACAGTATCTTTTATGACGTCCTTTTATACAGTATATTTCTTACTTTATTTTATCTGGTATGCATTGCTCCTGGAGTAATAGGAAAAGCATAACTTTTTTTTTCGGAAATGGCGGCAAATATTTGATAAAGTCAAGTCGTTAAAGAGTAGTTTTATTTTCGCTGACGGACTATTTAACACGATACACTTATAAGGCACTTATTTTTATCTTTCTTATAGCCGCCATTACTTCACTCAGAGAAAATACCAGATGACGTCTCGAGAGGCGATGGCGCGTTTTCACATGACAATACGCCATTTTTGTTTCCAAATTTGGGGAATACAATTTAAAGTCGGGAATTTTACTTTCTTCAGAAATTACCAGAAAAAAAAAGACTTTAGTAAAGTAGAAGTTCATGCTCAGATAATGTACTTCAAGTAAAGTACAAGTTCTATAATCCTAATACTTGAACTAGTACTTTAAGTACCATGTTCTTAAAATGCTACCCAAATCAACATTTTTGTTTTTGGCAAATGTGTTGGGGCAATTATTCAGCTTGTTGAACAATATCCCAATCTTGAAAGACATGCATATTCTGAGTTTCGGGAGGAAAGGTAACGCAAAGAGGCCACCTTTGCGTTGCCCTTTAGCACGCGATCCTTCAAGTACAGCGCAAACTGGAAGCACCAGATAGGCTTAAGGGCGCATGTTGCATTTTGTTGACGCCTTTGGGTGATTCTGCACTGTGCACACCTCCTGTAGTGGGCGTGAGTTCCTACCCTGGGGACAAGCGGGGTCTAACCCTTTCTTTAAATAAGTCATGTCTCCTTGAGTTTCGGGACACAAAGAAATCCCAGCCTTCGGCGCTAATTCCACATTTACTGGATCTCACTTGCAACGTGTCTAGAGCACCCTGTTGCAGGGTTGTTGCAGTGGGGGGCTCGTAGAAAGTTTAGAGTGTTCCGGACCCTCTAAACGACACCCCGCCCTCTTCACCTCCTGCCTACGCCACATGCCTCCTCTTTGCAAATATCATCTGATATCACAACATCTTATGCATTTTTGTGCAGGAATGTTTGTTGACCAACAGACCTACCACTAAAATTCAGAAGTAATTTGTAATTTGAGCAGAAGTTACGTGGAAAAAAGTAATTAAAGTAAACTAGTAATTGCCGCAATAAAAAGGTAATTGGAAGTTACTGAACTACCAGGAAAGTAGTTAAACTGCAGTAACTTGAGTAGAGTAGTTGAACTACGTACAAGTCTGGCCCGTATGGAACGGGTGGTTTTATTGTAGGTCTCCTACTGAAAAAACAACAACACTTCCATAACTCGTGAAGCACATCAGCTGTAAAATTGAATAATGTATGCTCAGTCATCGGGATGATAGTGAACCTCATCCGTCATGACATGTTGCTCCACCGGATCCGATCAAAATCACATTATATCCAGTAAAAAAGGTGGAGCCATTAAAGCGCATCAGGCAGTAATTCATAAACAGTCGCACTTGTATATTCAAATGTACACATGTCTGAGTTTTTTGCGCATGCGTAAGCTCCACGTTCTGTAAACCTTTCGTACAATGCTAATCTATTTTCTCTCGGTGAAATATATGCTCTCCTGTAGAATACTTAATCGAAGCAGGTCATTATCGTTACGCTTGTAGTTCTAGTGCCGGTTTTCAAATGACTGGTAGAAAAAAGAAACGCACATAAGAACGGTTTCCTGCCTCTTCAAAATATGAATTTCAAATGTTGTCTGTATATGCATATTAATTTAATAGCAATGTTTCCTTTTTTATTTGTATTTTGGCCCTCAGCATGGGCCGACAAACGTTCATCAATCATTGTGGTTCTTGATGGACACGTTCCTTCTGGCAAGTACGAATATTTGAAACAAACAAAAAGAAAATGATTAAAATCCTTTCATTTTTTTTTTTGCCAAACCACGAACGGCACGTGGGGAGAAACAGTGCAACGTTCTCGACTGCCGGAATTTGTATAAAACACGGCAGTGTAACTATTCACTCTAGATCATTTGAAAGAAGTTTCAAAGGAACGCCTCACAATGAACAGCAAGTGCATGAGCATTCTCTTGCTCTTTCTGGTAATCGGTAAGTTTTTTTCGGCATTTACGTTATTATAACTAGCACGCAAAAAATTATGGCACGATGAAGTTTTAAAGGAAAACTGAAGCGTTTCTGTATTTGAGGAAAGCATTTAAACATTTAAATCGTCTCATTTGGACTCCAGGATCAAAAATATGGAGTTTTTTTTGTATATAAATTTCGAAGTACCGGTGCATGAAGCTCATAAAGGGGTCTTGAAACAATCTTCCTGCTTCTTCCTCCTTAGCTTTAATCCTTAACTCAAATGCGAAGTGTGAAATCACGTTGTCGTGACATTGTTCGGCACCGGTGCAATGACTCTTAGCTGCCACCGTGCTTTTTCTGCACCCCATAAAACTTGTCATTAACCAGGGAACGGTAAGTTCCGTCAGGGCACTCATTGGCCACAAATGCGACTCCGAATATTCGTCGACGGATTGATTGTTGAGGAGCCCATACGTCCAAGTGACGAAGTTCACGTGGCCAATGCGTGAGCTGGGCTCGGCTGACGTCAGGTTGGCACCGCTGACGCGCTTTGGGAACTGCGAATGTATCACAGTGAAAAGGCGGAGAGCTTTCAAAGGAAAGAAGGTACAAAATAGTTTTATGATTGGGTACAAACTTCGTTTCATGGCCCCTTTAGAGGGGCTGTGCAACGCTATTTGATAGGAACGTTTTTCACTTTACATCTTACTGGCGCTAGTGGGACCCAAGAATACTCGAACGCAACACCACTAACCAAGAAGCGTCTTCATCGCGTGGAATTTCAAAGATGAAAGCGGACCTTTTCTTGGAGTCTCTCCCACACAAAACTTGATGACGTAGCCATATGGACGATGCCAACAATGCGATCCCCAGGCGTCGGTCATCAAGTTATGCGATCCCCGCTGTGATGATTTAAATTCTGCTCACACAGTGGACACGAAGACTTCGTAGGCATTCGATTTTGCCTCGTGACAATCAATGTCTCGACACGTATTCAGCTGGTGGTTCGTGCCCTATCGCTGGGAGGACGGAAATATCCGAAGCTCAGCGCGCGCCCTGCGCTCTGCCAACCCCTGCGCGTGGCTATTTTAAAACTATTGGCGGCATATAATCGGCTCCAGATCACGTGGCCGCGAGTTGAGGGGGTAAACGGTGTTCGTTTTTCTCGAGTTGTTTCTGCGACTGCAATTGCGTAGATGTAAAAATCAACCTGTGTTTCTTAGGTAATACATATCAGGGAATAATCCTAAGCCCTATTTATTGACAGTAGAAAATTTGTTGCATCACCCCTTTAATTCCTTCCCGAAGCGTGACGTCAAATATCAAGAGTTTTCGGAATCTCTGCTCCCGCGCATCTTCACCGCCTATCAAAGCAATGCACGCGCACTCTTGCTGTTCTCAAAAAGGTTAAAGAAAGACGTCACAACTTTAGCTTGCAATTGCATGCACTGCCCACACGAGTGACACGCGCTTGGCAGCCGAAAGATTTCGTCATTACGTAACGACTGGTCCGAGGTTTTTCGTACTTTATCGCGTTTAGTTACATTTTCGTGGAAAACGAAAGTGATATGAGGATTCACTGAACAAAAATGCTCTAGAATTCCCCTCTAACAGGTTTCTTTAAAAATATCTTCAGCTTCCCTTCAAAGAAGTACGTACGGAAACAAAATGTTTGCTCTTATTTGTTTGGTCAGATGTGATCAATGTTGTGCCGGCAGCCCAGGAACACTAGTCTAGACTATTGTTCTTGGGGTGCCGGCAGAAAAGACGAGGAAAGTAATTTTAAAGCGGATTCATAAACTTAAAAATTGCGTCTAGTTACGGTCTCTAAAGTTCCGTTTCAATGCCGCCACATCGCGTTTTTCTAAGAAGCACACTCCCAAGAAAAAATGGTGTAAAAGGGTGTATCGTTACACCCTTTGTCCCATATAATGCACCCCGAAATTTCATTTCGACGTACAGAGCCCTATAGTCGAACAGATGGCCCCAAATTTTACGAGGGGCTTTATAACAGTGGAATATAACTTTTTAAATAGCTAAAGTACGTATCAAAGGCCACATAAAGAAAACACAGAGTTTTTACAGTAGGGACAAGAAAACCCCGTTAATATTTTGTAGTCAGTAACACGTACCTTAGCTATCTTAATAAGTTGTACTACACGACTATCAAGCCCCTCGTAAAATTTCTGGCCTACTGTTTGACTGTAGGGCGCTGTACGCCGAATTGAAATTTTGAGGTGTATTATATGAGACAAAGGGTGTAACGATACACCCTTTTACACCATTTTTTCCTGAGAGTGCAGCGCCAGTTCGCGACAGTATAACTCGCTTGTGCAGTTACTTAGTCCTGAATGTGACTGGCCGGAGAACGTTAACGAGTCAACTACATTGAATATGTTAAAGCTTCTGCAACCTGCATTCCACACCATCAAGATCGCCGATTTTTTCAGACGATAGGTGCGATAAATTAAAGCAGCGCCCAAAAAGGCAGGATCAAGGAGAGTTTCACAAAGAACAAGTGCTCTTCCTGTGTGCTTCTCTTTCAGTCCCTGTGTTTTTGCGCGCTGCTTTTAATTTATCAAGCCACAAAAGAACTCGTTTGCATTGCTACCTAGATGAATAGCAGCTTAATATGAGAATGCGGGGTCCTCTGCCAGGCCAATTATACGCTCCCACTCGTCCCTCCAGGATGCGCTGTGAATAACGAGCTTATATATATGACACTCAGTGAATACCTTATATACATCGCGTGCAGATGTCGCCGTTGCTGCGAGCTGAAGGTTATTTCTACTTGCTGGTTTCCTCGAGCTACTACTTCTGCGGTGCGAAACTAACTCCGTGAACCGAATGCTCATGGCGCACAAAATACCAGCATGGCCGCGAGTGACGTTGCGGGCAAGCTATGTATAGGTCATAGGGCGTACAGCCCTCGGAGATTAGTACTAGGCGAGATTGTCACGCGTTGATGCCACCAAGCGCCAACGCTCGAAACTACACTACCCTTTTCTGTGCAGGAACTCTTGACGTTTGGCGCGATGCTCGTTCCGCTTCTCGCTGGCCGACTTTGAAGCCAGAGGTAGTGAGCGATCGCGGTCAAGTCATTTCGTTTCGTACCCCCTTAAGATAAAGTGTAATTCTCTCGTATACACGGGCACACATACTTGAAGTTACACTGAGCCATTTGAGCACAATATTTGAGGACAACATTCTGCACCCTTCAGACAAAGCTATGGGGGAACATGCGCTTGAGCATCCTGAGCACCCATCGAAGCTGTGCTCGCGCGCTCTTCACTACTTCTGAAATAGCTGTCCGAGAGTATAGTGCGGTATCTGTGGTGCCGCGTAACAGCATTTAAAGCTGAGTTCACCGTGATTAAGGGTGGCCGTGTAACAGGGTAGAAAACCTTTGACGAAACAAAACTCGGTTGAAACTCAGTTCAGGCTGCTTGATTATCTCTTTTGTGGCAGTTTTTTCGGCCGCGAATTTTAATAACAAAACACGTTTCCAGGTACGATGTTCCCCATCGGAAACGGCAAAAAACATGGCCATGATGGCAACTCTGGAAAACCAAACTGGGGGTCCGGCCCGAAGGGCTCACAGAACCAGACCGAGTGCCGTTCTCTTGGTCTCTCCGGCCGTCTGGCCATCGTCACGGGAGGCGCCAGTGGAATCGGAAGGAGCGTCTGCATGGTACTCGCTCGAGAGGGCGCCACCGTCATCGTGGCGGACAGGAACAGCACGGGCTCCGCTGAAACCATAGAGATGCTACAAGGTGCGTCGGAAATACCGATTCCGAAAAGGTTCCGTGTTTTCTGTAAATACCAATACACCCCGATAATCTACCGCCGATACAGTTTTATCAAAACTGGGGGATACCGAAAATCCCCGAAAAACAGAAAAAAAAAATTACCTACAGTTTTATTTTGTATTACTTTAACACTGAGCCTATGATGCCCGGAGCACGTCTCCCACTGGTGGGTTTACTGCGTTCAAAAAAGTGGTCCCTCCATTTTCGCCTGATGACGTCATACAAGCGTCACGCTGTCGCCCGCTGCGACCCTGGCGGCGTCACAGCAGCGTGATGCACGTGGCAGACGCCTGTTCTGCAGCAGGTCGCTCTCTAATATCACAGTCCACAGAGACTTCGGCAGCCAGGAGTAAGGACCTTGAGAGGACAGCGACACTCGCGTTCTTCGGTGCTCTTCGCCAGCGTTTCTATGACCAGCCGCCAGGATCGCGACGTCCGACAGCATGACACCCCTGCTTTTGTGACGTCATTTGTTACTACTTCGGGCCACTTTCGATGCAGGGACGTAATCAGACGCTGAACAGATCGGTCAGAGACGCTTTCCAGACTCCGCGATTAAACTGCCAGCGAGACCGCGTCTTTCTTGGGAACCAAACAATTTGTCTCGTTTGTTTCTCTTTACGCTACGGGGACGTTTCCAAGTAATTGTGTCATGCGCATGCTGTCTTGGACGTGGAGGAATCCCTTCCCGGGTACTATTTTCTTAAAAGTAAGCCCGGATTAACGCCGAATTTTTGTGCGACACTAAAAATTGACACCGGAAAACAGGGAATGCTATGAACAAAATAACCCCGAAAAAAGCAAACACCCAAATATTAAGAAAAAAAACCACGAAACTCGGAAACTTGTCATTTTTTTTTCAATTGTATGTTGTAATTCCTTCGCATTTTCTCGGCGTTACGGCGCATGCAAGCGAGAGTCGAAGCTTATTTATTTGATCACGACACCGCTTGTTTGCGTTAGACGGTGCACCAAGAGAGCCAAGCTTTTTCCTAATGGTGAGGATGGCTCGCATCCGAGAGTAGGCATGCGCATCGCAAGTCCGCGCTCCGAGTGGGAGATTTCTCGCCCGCGAACCGAGACACTGAGTTCGCCGAGACAGCCGAGGGTTCTCGTGTAGTCCACGACAGATGGCGCCAGCCGTCCTTCAAAATTCACGGGGATAGATCAGAGGCTGTGGAAGCGGCGAGGGTATCGCATTTTCGCCGATTGAGATGTATTTCTCTAGTGAAATAATTGATGAGCCTAACTTTTTACCTACATTTTCTCTGTCTCATTCTCTTCAAAATATAATGTATAAAAAAAGCGCAAAAAAACAACAACACAACCGCGGATTGATGATTACAAAAAACTCACACAAAGGGCAGCGTTCGTCCTGCTGGCATGTTTCGTCCAGTTTGCTTGTTCGCGCAGTTTGTACACTATGACTATATGATCAATGAATACCAAATAGCCGAGCTCTCGACGTTACTTCTCTACAGAACAGTAGACGCTTATCCTTTGTTGAGACGGGCGATTGGCGCGCCGTATGCGTTAGCGTGCTGATCTGGTCGCCGTAATGCAGAAATGGAAATGGTGCTCTTTGTACTTTGCGGGCATTTATACCGGATTGAAATTTTATGAGCGCAATCAGTCATGTTACTCCGAATAGTTAGGACCAGCTGGCCAGGCTCTCAGCAGGGCGCGGGTAGAAATAATCACAACGAAAAACAGAAAGAGCTTAGCTAACAAGGGCCCTTAACCGCGTAGCTTGAGACTTTATCTAAATATGGTGCGTGGTGCGTGCCTCCGAATGGTGCGTTTATAGCGTTTTCATATGCTGTCCCTCGATTTTCACTCGACGGCGTCATAGGAGGATAATATTGTTGCCAACCCCGATCCTGGCTGTTGCAGAGCAGCCGAGGAGGATAATATTGTTGCCTGCGTGAAACGGCCTTTTCTCACGCTGGAGCGTTAAGACCCCTTCACACACTTCCCTTTGCTTACGACCAAGGTCTTGCAATGGGAAAATGACAAGCTGGCGCCATCCATAAGGTGACCGTGGAACTGCATTTCACTAGGGCGAAGGTTTCACGGTACTTACGAGATCAAATGCACGTACTATTTATAAGAAATGTTCGTTTATACTTTCATAATATTCTCGAACGATTTTTTTGTTTTTTTTTTCTTTTCAAAGCCAAAATTTAAAATGATGCGCGAAAAAAAATGAAAGCCGTTTACAACTACCTGTAACACCGAATTAGAGCGCAGCTCTTGAGGAGGAGGAAAGAAGGGTGCTGAGGGTCACCTGTTCTCGGGGCGGGGGGGGGGGGGGGGGGGTGTCACGTGACATCAGAGGGGGGCCATGTTACCTTGGGGGGTCACGTGAGCCCCCAGAAAAAAATTTGGGGAATTTTTTCCGCTAGATTTAGCGAGGAATTTTTCCGCTAGATATAGCGGCGAATTTTTTCCGCTAGATTTAGCGGGGAAATTGTTCCGCTAGATTTAGCGGGGAATTTTTTTCCACTAGACAGCGGAGAATTTTTCCCGCTAGATTTAGCGGGGAACTTTTTCCGCTAGAGTTAGCGGGGAAGTTTTTCCGCTAGATTTAGCGGGGAATGTTTTCCGCTAGAATTAGCGGGAATATTTTTCCGCTACATTTAGCGGGGAACTTTTTCCGATAAATTTAGCGGGGAAATTTTTTCCGCTAGATTTAGCGGGGCAATGTTTCCGCTATACTTAGCGGGGAAATGTTTTTCTGCTAGATTTAGCCGGGAAGTTTTTCCGCTAGATTAAGCGGGGAAATTTTTCAGCTAGATTTAGCGGGGAATTTTTCTGCTAGACTTAGCGGGGAATTTTTCCCGCTAGATTTAGCGGGAAAATTTTCCGCTAGATTTAGCGGGAAAATTTTTCCGCTAGATTTAGCGGGGAAATTATTCAGCTAGATTTAGCGGGGAATTTTTGCGGGTAATCTTTTCCCGCTAGATTTAGCGGGGAATTTTTCCGCTAGATTTAGCGGAGAAATTTACCCATAATGCACCTCGCGGTTACGCCGACAGCGACGCCGACGCCGACGGCGACACCGCTCAATCCGGAAACGGGCGCCTAAGAGCTGCGCTTTAAAAAGGGAGCTGGGTAAGAATGGTCGAGAGCTCGCTTGCTCGCCGCTTCAGACAGCGAGGCTCCGCTGAACAGGCGGCGTTTTGCTGGTTCTTGGCATTCCTCGGCAAACCTCTCTCATCAGTGCTCTCACTCACCCTCCCTCACCCTCATCTTCACAGGTGAGGTGAGGGTGAGTGAGGTTCTGGACCCCGAAAATTCAGGAATGTGAGGGTGACAGGGCCGTGAGTACTGTGAGGGGTGTGAAACCGTGAGGGCCGTGAGGGCCGTGAGGGCTGTGAGTGCGTGAGGATGAGTGAAGGGCTGAAGGTAAGTGTGACTGTGAGGGTGACGATTAATGAAGGGTGTGGCTGTAAGGGTGAGTGTGACTGTAAGGGTGAGGGTGAGTGAGGGCGAGTGAGGGCGACCTAAAATGCCGACCTCTGGCTGGAGATCGCTTTCCATCTGGACATGTACTCTACGGAAGCTTCAATGGACAGGAGTTAGGATGCCAGGACGACCGCGACAATTTTGTTCTCTGATTCCTTTTGTCGGAACTTATAACGCCAACTGCCGAGATTGCGATATTCGACAGCGTGACATGACGTATAGTTTGCTTTAACTTCGGTTCCGCCTTGAACACATGGGCGGAATAGTACGCCCATGCGGTCGCTTACGCTGAGATCAACAACGAGTCACCGGGATAACAATGCCCGAGGTGAACCACGGCGACCAATTCATAGAGTAGGTAGGCGCGCGCATATATGAAGCACGAAGGTTTTTAACTCCCAGTTGTTCCATAATGTGAAATAGCCAGTGTTTTGTTCAGCCGGTGATAGCCGGCTAAAACCCATGACGCTCAGTGAAGTCAGCTTGATTCTGCGCTGCCTTCACGCGTGATTGGTTTAGCCAGGAAGAACAAGCGCATATAAGCGACGAGCGCCGTGACAACGCCCTTGTGGCGCCGCTCGATCGGCGCCATCGGTTCGTAGCGTCGGCTTCGTTCGGACTTGGTGTGAGACGGAGTACAGGCGACAAGTTACCTGAACCATATTCATTGGCTGATAAATGAAACTTCTTTCCCTGGCGTGTTTCTCACAGCCTCGTACAAGGGCGACCACCGGGCCATATACGTGGACGTTTCCAACTCGACCGCCGTCGACCTACTGTTCAAGGACATCACGTCTTCGTTCCCGACCAGAAAGGTCAGCGTCGTGGTGAACAGCGCCGGCATCGTGGAAACACCGACGCCAATAGTAGAAATGGGAGACACCGCATTTGACGACACAATCGCCACTAATCTAAGGGTGAGTCAAATGGAGATTTCCACTAGTCGTTGGACATGATGAAAAATCGCGCACAAAGAGACAAGGACAAAAGAGGAAGGAAGATTGAACACAGGCAGGTGTCTTCCGTGCAGGGTGTCGAACCAAACTATTTTTCGTTCCGGTTTTTGTTCCGGTTCAGGGAAAACGGTTCAGCACCGGTTCAACTCCGGAGTGAAAAAAGAAAGGTTCAAACCGGTTCGAACCGGTTCGTATTTATGTTACAAAAATAATTGATGACAGCAAAAGGTAAACTATGCATGTTTTAGAAGTGTTACATATAAAAAGCAAAGTCTCACATTACTGTGTGGAACGAACGAGCTAGTGCTGGGGCACCATGGGATGGGGGTGAAAGCGCGGTTCAATGTCAGGCAGCTGACCGAAGAAGCAGGACGTCGTCAAGCATATCAGGGGAAAGACGGCACCTCTGAGACGATAAAATGAACTTCCGTGCAGAAAATGCTCGCTCCACGCTGACCTGGGTCGCAAGCACTCCCAGGGCTGCTTGCGCCAATGCGCAGAGTTCTGGATGGCGCTCCCATCTCTCCTCCCTGAACCGCAACACGTTAGCGTCCCTTGAACGCCGAGGCTCCTTGTGTAACATTTCCAGGAGGTATGCTATATAAAGTGGGCTATTGGTACCTCGAACGTGCGCGCGAGGCTCAACCTCTTTTTTCTTGAGGAGCGCTTCCAGGACGTCTTCGGTATCTTCTAGAGCCGCCGCAATTTCAGATGACAAGGTAGAAACTTGCTCGCATTGCAGAGCTGTGATCCGCCTCTAAGCCTTTGCGAAATGCAATGTGGCCCGGTACTTCTTCTCAGGGGTGAGAAGAAGGCGGTAGGGGGAATTTATGTACACTACTGCACAGAAGACATCCGTGTCAAGAAGTTGTCGCTCCCTCTTTTTCACTGACTGAACCAAGGCCTTTGCTAACGGCGACGATATCTTAGAAGTGTCCATGGAATATCTCAGCCATGCGCCGTAGAAATCTCCTACAGTGAGCTGTTCCTTCTGCAATGGCTTCGTCGCCACTTCTGCCGGGCTAAGCGATACTGTGAGCATTTCGACTTCCGCCCATACGTTTTCAGTCGACCTGGAGCTTTCTTCTTTTGAGAGCAACCCTCCAGCAAAGCCTCTTGGTTCAAGCAGCTTGGTGAACATATGCCGCGTGGACATCCGCCGCGTTAGACAATCAAGCACTGGTTTCTTCAACCCTAGCTTTCTGATAAATGACATAACATATTGAGCACATAGTCTCTTAACAAGCACACGGCTTTCTCCGGTTTGCGCGATTTTTTTCTATTTTTTTTTAGGTTACTGTGTTTTTTGCCACGCTTTTTACACGCTACCTGACTTCGCGTATGAACCGAAAACCGCATGGGAAACATATCAGTTGCGCTCCGGAGCGAACAAAAAAAAAAAAAAAAAGAAAAAAAACATTCGCTCTAGCTAAATCCCGGTTTGAGCGAAAATAAGGGGTTTCTCCGGTTTTCGGTTCACGGTTTGGGTTCGGTTCAATACCCTGATTCCGTTTTCCATTATGTTCGAAGTTTACCAACTCGCCCAGCTTACCACTTTACTCCATTTATCGTCTTAGTGGAAATGGTCAGATTCCGCGACGGACCACGCATTTTGCGCTAAGCCTGCGCGTTCCTGACCCAAAGCAATGAAAGACAATCTCTCCTCCTGCATGATGGGCTAGGACTAGGAGGGTGCGCATGACGATCGTACGATCGAGACAGCGCCTGCAATTCTTGCTTATGAAACGCAGCGTATTCGGTATGCTGAAGGCAGTGCCACGTTAGCCTCTAGACCTAGAAGAGAGAAAAAAAATATACGGAGACAAATATGTTGCTAGAGCATGTTATTCGTTCAGGTGTAAATGGGAACATGACCACTTATATTTATTTTATTATTTTTCACCCCCACCCCCTTTCCGTTTTATTTTAAACCAAATCTCTAAAGAATGTACTTGTCTTTGCTGCTGTGGCGGTGCTGCGAGTTAACAAATAAGAGCATGGTGACAGTGACACATGAGGTAATGAAGTGTAGGATCGCTCACGGCCGCTAAAATAAGTGAGATAACGCCACACCTTTTCTTCTATAGCCCGCCAAATATACCTCCAGAATCGGCGTGTTGCTTCGGTGATTTAACGAATCTTGTGCAGGCGAAAGACACGACACGTCCTTTTATATTTCTGTAGGTCACAGGGAAGAAGATTTTTGAAAGCACTGGAGCACGCTATTCTAAATGTGCGGTTGATAGTTTTAGAATAGGGTAGCCCAATACTTTCTGCCCCCCCCCCCTCCCCCCCTCCCCCCCCCTCCCCCCCCCCGCCCTCCCGCCCCCCCCCCCTTCCCCCCCCCCAGGAGCTTGGGGCTTTGTTCGCCTGCGCTGAACTTCTGCGCAGAGGCAGTTTCTCTCCGTGCGCAGTGTGACGAGCCAGTCATTTCGGGGGACCTTAAGCCTTGGGGCCCCCAATTCTAAAAATCTTCTTATTGCTTTTACTTTTCCTTGTCCTCAAAGCAGGACAATCACTCGATTTCTTTCTCTCGCAGGGAACGTTCCTGATAAATCGAGAGTCTGTGCGGCACATGCTGACAAATAACGTCACGGACGGCGCCATTGTCAACATTGCAAGCATCATTGCAAAAACAGGCTTTCCAGGAGTAGCAGCGTACTCAGCATCCAAGGGTGGCGTCGTCTCTCTGACCAAGGCTGTTGCTCTCGAAGTGGCCAGCAAGGGAATCCGTGTCAACGCCATTCTGCCGGGTCCTGTTGACACTCCCATGCTCGAGAGGTTGCCTGCAAACTTGGTGGCCATCTTCGTTGATCAAACTGCCCTCAAGCGCAAGGCACGGCCCGAAGAACTGTCCGAGACAATTGCGTTCATGTGCAGCCCGAAAAGTAGCTTCATGACAGGAGATGCCGTCGATGTCACGGGAGGAATAACTGCGTAACGTTTTCCTCTTCCGAACAAATAAAAGTTTGGTAGATAACGCAAACATTTTTATTGTATGTTTGCTGTTTTGTAAAGCCTTGTTTAGAAACATAAAATATTGCCATAAACAAGTCAAAGCGAAACTAAAAAAAATTCTTTAATAGGCAAAGATGGGACAAGTTATATTGTAATTAATCCACGAAACATTTTCCTCGCAATATTTACGCAGTTAGATACAATTTAGGTGGAGGTCTCGGCCAACACCGCCTAGAAGACAAGGCTGTAGTGATGACATTTCTGCGTCGCCAGAGAAGGCCAACGCCGGACATATTGGAAACGGGCACTGCGGCAGCGCTCGACTTCGAGTTAAGTTTGTGCTGAACGTTGGCGCAATCGTCGTACCCCAATCTCTGCCAAGCGCTGGCCTTCGTTGATGACGAGATCTCTGTCAGCACTACGGCGTTGCCATCTAGGAGGTGTTATCTCGGCATACTCTAAGCCCCACCCATAGATCAGTGGCCCCGCCCATTACTACTGGATTATTTGGCTGCCCGGACGAACACGCTAACAAGTCTAGTGTTTCCCTTTCGCGACATCCGGTGCGTCTAGTCTGGCGTCTTACACCGCAGTACTAGTCCTGCGAGAAGACGGGCGGCAGCCTCCGGCATCGCCTGCTATTCCACCACCGTCTATCGTCGTCCGCAATGCCCTTAAGACGCTGATATGAAAGCTGCGCTTCGGCGTCTCTTTTCTCCTTCGTCCGTCTGCTATTCCGCTTCTGCCTAAAAAACGTCTGCAACACTCGCTAAATGCGACCCCGAAAGCGGCGTTCTAACGTTCCATCATGCACAAGCAATGGGGCAGTACAAGCGTCTGTCAGGGTCTGTCGATGTGCGGTAGAAAGGGACCGAGAGGACTAACACAATCAACAAAGTAAATATGCAGTTCTTTCAGCTTTTTGGTTCTTTGCACTGCATCCGCGAGTAAGGTGGGTGAACGTAATGACGCACAATTGAAACGCGACTTAAAATATTCGCTGTGGCAGGCCAGGTGCACTGCAATACGTGAGATATACTTTCCAATTTCGAAGCGAACTGACGAGAACATACCTTGACAAACTTGATGCTATAACTGAACGCCCGATTGCCTCCAGCCATAATGGCACGAATGTCCTTACCTGCGTAGTTATCTTCTCGGTATGAAAACGATGGTCGCAATCACGATGGTTGCACAATTCGAAAAGCAGCGGGGCCGCTTTTACGGGAACATCTTTATTGCGAACCAACACCTACAAATGAACAAATCAAGAAAGATAGAGCAACAGAAAGGTTGCCTAAAATAACCAGGCTTGATCTCAAATGGATTGTAAGAATCGGCGCCTGCACATAGGAATTTAAACTTTTCGTCCAATGTGTATTCACAAGTCTGTTTTGTCTTGTAAAATTACAAAACGTATTCGCTTTTTGTATATATAAAAAAAATATATATATTTTCTGGTGAATATATCACCAGAAAACGGTGAAAGGCTGACGGCGACGCAGACGACCGAGTTTAGTGGTGGTGCGCTTTTGGCGTACTTAAGGATAGATGGCGCTATCTATATACCTCCTTATCGAGACATCTCGGGACAACCCTGGTTTTTTTTAAAAGGAACGCAATTTTTTTGTAATGTAGCTTTGGGTTAAAAATAAAAGAAAACAATAATAACAAAACTTGATTAAAAACAACAACAACCGTTGTTGCGTAATAACGGCGCAAACGGCGCTCTTGCTGCCTATGGATTTCATCTGCGTGTTGTCTGCTTTCTTTCGCTGGTCGGCTATACCTTCCGCCACTGTTTCCGACACTATCTATGAATACATGCGCTAAACGCGCTCCGCCACTCGACTCGGTCACTTGCGTCGTTGTTCACCGTTGACCATGGCAAGTTTTGTGACCCCATTTTTTACAGAACGGGAGCTACATTTTGTAATTTTGCATGATAAAACAGACCTGGGAAATGCACCCTTGACGAAAAGTCTAGATTGCTTCGTGCAGGTGCAGAGTTTTACGGCCCATTTTATATTGAGCCCGGGTATTCCAGACACCCTATAGTTAACGTGAGCCGCTATAGCCTTAGGTCAGTCCCGCTATGAAAAGAAACACCCACACAGCGCTTCCGAAGGCGCTTACTTGCGACAGTTGGTTTCTGCAAGCGACGTCAGTTGATGAGATCTTCCTCTAAGCCACGTGACTGGCACCCCGCTGCGGCGAGACGCCAAAGCACACTTCTCCCGAGCAAACAAATCTGTTTCGGGTTCTCGCCGCTGCAAATTCTCTGCGCTGACGTCCAGGCTCCCCGAGAAATGGCGCTTTGATGCTCTGTGCTACCAGATCCTAGCGCTCAAAATCTGTGACCGGCCACCTCTTTCCACCTTAGCAGGGCGACCGCTGGAGAGGAGGTCGCCTTCTTGCCAGCGTTTGCTGTGCTAAAGTGGAGAGAGGTGGGAGGAGCTTCCACTGAACTCTTAACACGCAACCAACTATAGCTAGGGTGCTGTTTCTTTAGACTTCACATATTTCAGTTTTAAAAAGCCATGAAAGCTACAACAATGCGATCTTTGCAGGTGAGTTGTACGGCCAGGGGCACATAATGTAGAGGGTAGGTCAACACAATTAGGCAAATGACTAACACAAACTGTCAGCCTTTCCACTCTGGTGAAGAAGAAAGACCAGCGAAGCTGCACTATGGTGGGAATGAAGTAATGGCCGTCCTCAAGTCGGCAAGCCAAAGTGGAAAGGCTCGAGATGTTGCCGCCATCTATGAGCGACGGCGGCAAGCAGAAAACCGGCAAACACAACATTCTCGACAGCTACCGCCATCTATGAACGAGGGCGGCCACCAGAGTGTTGTGTCGACATTTCTGTGCGGACGGACACAATCCTGGGGAAACCAGCCCTTAATAGCTCCGCTGTAAAAATGTCTTCATGAACTATTTTATTAGTGAAAATAAACGTGCGGTTCCAACAAAAAACTTGTTGCTGAGCGTCATCGAAAACCGCTAACTCAGTAATTGACCAAATTATCGTGGCAATTAACATTCTATATTATGTCTTCATGGCTGTAGTAGTATAACGCACCTGCAGCTTTCATTTTTTTAAAGCAAATTTGTAAAGTTTTTTAATAAAACGCCCTGCATGCTTCGTTTCATATTAGCTCAGAGCGCAGTCAAAGGTTAGACGACAGTCACGACACACAAAGATAAGCGGAAAGACTAAAAAACACCAAGTCCCAATGCAGTCTCTGCTCTCTAAGGGTTTTGTTTGTGAGAATAAACGTACAAAAAGAACGACGATTCTTGTGACGTTGTGCTTTCTAGCGCCGCTTGATCGGTCTCATTGGTTCTAAGCATTTTCTGCGGTCTTGTGAAACGAAATACAAGAGCTGTTCGTGGTCCGAAGGTTGCCCTAGCAGTTCTTTGAGCATCTGGTGTCCAACATTGACCCGTGGTCACTCCAGTGCGCTACGTTCGAGCTCCGAAGAAATCAGATGACCACATCTGTGCTGATGAAGCATGGCAGGGCAAATGAGCCAGGAGCCAGCAAGTCCTGGATCGAGGACACCGTGCCAGCGACAGTGCCGATCACTCCCACGATCACAATCTCCACGATCAGCGACTTCTCCCAGAGCGGTAGCTTCCTGAAAGACGAACGGCACGAAGGGCGGACCATGCACACTTCGGATGAAAGTAAAAGCTGGGGTGTTTAAGCTGCGCTCACACTTTTTAACATCATTCTGAGTCGTGTTGTTTCCTATCACATTGGCTTCGGACATGCGTGAGGCATGTTCATGGCTATTTCGACATCGTTTCTGCAGCATACATCACATTTTTTTGCGTAATGTCCCTTAGAAAAATATGATCCACTTTTTATATAATATCGACAGAAAATTGTGTATAGAGGCTATTGCTATTTTAAAGACAATATATCAACTTTTCTATCCACTGTATATGACTTTTTGGCCGCTTTTGTACTGTAGACTTTCTATAGAACTGAGTGTATAAATATTTGTATAGATATTGTACCGTAAAAGATTTTAGCAACGTTTCTATCCCTTTCCAACTGCAATAAGTTCATCGCAAAACAAAAATAATAATTCTGAACATTAATTTTAACTTTGTCACGATACATTCACGGACACGTGCTGTCTTCACTCGTCGTGTGCAGATACGCAGATATCACAACTACACACGCCACGTAGCACTCATAACACTACTAAGTCACGCTGACTGCTATACTTTTATATATACCCTACAATTGAAAGAGAATCACTTGAACGAGAACCATTCCGGAAGATAAAAAGATTACAGGTATGTTGATTATTTTCTGCACACAGTTTATACGAGGTGTGCTCCATAAGGGTTGGTGAAATGTATCTCCAACTATAAAGTGATAAAAAAATTATTTGAAAAAAAGAAAAAAAAATCTCCGCGAAAAGGTACGATGTCGCTTCTCCGCACTGCATCTTATTATCCTATCGATTTTAGTCTATAGAAATTCTATATACATACGTTTACAAAAAGTTTATTGACACGTGGGGATAGAAATTTTAGGTAGCATTTTTATCGTCTGTACTCTATAGACTTCGTTCGGTTAAAATAAAATTGCCGACACAACGTGAGTGGATAGGAAGCTGAACGAGTCGTTGATATAATCTCTATAGACTACCGTAAATATTTTTGTAATAGATATGAGCCGTGTGACTGCGACTTTAGATTTATGCTGGTCTGAAAACTTTTTAGGGGCGTTAAAGCCTGTTCGCACACGTACACCACAGCACTACCTCAGCGCGGTTCTAGTCATGCACTCGAAATAGCGCAGACCTTGTTGATTCAGCTTCAAACCTTGCGCTACATATGAGAGGTACAAGCTTGATACAACGCTGCGTCATTGGCATTAGTTGAGTGTAAGTCAGCGCTGCGATGTTTGCAACGAGCAGACGACGCACTCTTTCGTCTGCTGGCTGCACCTATCGCGATATGGCGCCACAAGATACTACAATTGCTTAGTGTGGATAAATTACAGGGTGTTTCCAGCAGCTCGACCGGGGTCACGTGGTTTCATAAACCGCGTTTGTAATGCGAGTATTAAAGTGTCAATTTGAGCCAGTTGGTTCATGGTCAAGTAGGTAAGCGCCAAAAAAAAAAAAAAAAAAAAAAAAAAAAACAAAGGGACAACGAAGTAGACACGCAGGGGAGCACTCGCAACAAACGTTTATTTGAAAACAGACACAGGCACACACACACAAATACACAAAAACACACACAGACACACACACAAATACACAAACACCACACACACACACACACAGATATATATTTGGAGATTTGCAGTGCCATGGAACTATTTGGGCTGCTAAAAAGTAGCAAAGCCAGCACGAAACTAAACTCTTAAGTTTTCTTCTTTGCAAAAATCCATAAAGTCGTTCTGCGTTTTAGGGCAATTGTACCGAAAAGAATTCATGGCAGTTTCATGTGGATAGCTTCCAGTGTAAACATTTGACCGCTCTTAAGTTGCGTGATCCGTTCATCGAAGAACACTGCAAATGCATCATCAATTTTTTTTTTTTTTAGAGAGGGCGCGCAGGGATTTTGAGTAGAATTCTCCGACACGACACTCTCCTTATCGGCAAATCAGTACTCTTTTCTGTTACGGGGGCTACACCGGAATCATCCGTGATTTTCTTTTGCCATGGCTATATATATATGAGTGTTGTTGTTTTTAAATAAGAGTTACTTGCGAGAGCGACCCTGTTTGCCTACTTCGTTTTCTCTGTGTTCTTGGCGCTTACGTACTTGTGCAACACGAGCTGCGAGGAGGGGACGAAAGCGTTGGTTGTCTGCCGGCGTCTCTGCCTTTCCGCCCACTTTCTTTCTCTACTCAGTACAACGAAACGCATGCGCACTAGCGATCTGTCCGTCCAGGAATCGTCTGCCATTAAATTGCAAAACCTTTGTTGTTTCAGGTGGCACCTCTCTTTATTCGAGTCTTTTCGCTAGATCGTCTGCGAACATGACCGCCGTTGACTCGGGGTAAGTTTGTTTGTCTTTTTGTTGTTCAAAAAGGACGCTACATTTTTTTTCGCAGGTGGAATGCACGGCAAAAAGACATATTCGGTTAATGCTTGAGACGTCTACGTGCAGACGCCAATTTTTTCGGCTCGTTTTACAATTCTAAAATAATTTTAGGCAACTTATCGCTGAGCGTGCTCTCACGAGGCCATTTAACGAGGTGCCACACCACGCAGGAAAAAACTACCGCACCTCTCCGGCCACTCCCGTTTTGTATCGCTGCACAGCTTGTAGTAGAAGACGCAGGGCAGGATGAAGGTGGTCAGTCCCGCCACGACCGAGCCGACCAGCGGAAGCACCTTGCCGAATTGCGGCACCGACTCGGCCACCACCAGCACGGCAAGCATCAAGAAGGACCGCGACGCCGCCCGCTTCCACGTGAACTCTGTGAAGACAAATCAAGCGATGAGTCCTGTTTTGTGCGGGGAATTGTCGTCCAAGGGTCGCAGACCGGTAATATCCGACGCACGGGAGAACTGCATTGAAGGCATAGCTGTTGCTGAGATAGGAGTGTCGCTCCTGCCGCATGCTGATGCCTGGTTCAGACATGTGCTTTTTGAGTGCAAGAGACTGCGTTACTAACACTTATGACTGGTTCAGACGAAAGGCTTCTTCTACACGTTGCTATGGCAAGACTCGTCGTAAACAGTCGTCAGCGGTCACCACGCAGTCGGTTGCACTCAGCACGCAGATGTCTGAACCTGGGCCCATCCACGCGTTCGTAAGGCAGCACATCATACGCCCAACAGCTTCTCGCTTCAAACACACACAGGGGTCCAACTGTTGTAGTCTTCGAGGGTACAGGGACCTTTCGTATTTCTCTCGCAAGAGCCTTTGCGTAGTCAGAGAGCTAGTCACAGTGAGACCCGGATTGACCACGCGTCCACTGGTACCTACAGTCCGTAGCTTACGATCTACGAAAAGTCCCTGAGAGAGAGTTTTCGTAGACAGGTTTTCCAACTCCGCTACGCTCTCCGGAACGAGGACGCCCCTACTGCACATGCGCGGTGCAAGTTTTGCCTCCAGAAACTCGGATCTCGTAACGGGTGGCGCAGGACGTTGCGGGACAACGGAAACCATCTAAGAAAACTTCTTTATGTCGGCCCGTGATCTGACTGGGTGTGAATCTTGCGGCTGCAAGAAACAGCTGTTCCGTAGACCTGTTTCTGGGGTTATGCCCAGCTGCAAATACCGCACGTCTTGCAGCCAAGAAGTTGGGCGTACCATCTGGTGTCCCCGCATCTTTTCTTCCTCAGATTTTATAAGAGGAACGAAGTAAATAGAGGTATTCAGCACTGTGTCCTTACCAGGTGGGACGCCGATATGCTCCTCGAGCTCCTGGCACATTGGGTTGATGAGGATGAGGAAGCCGCAAATGAGGTGCACGATAAACAGGCACTGAACCACAATGCTGGTCACACCATCTCCGATGGACAGAAGGATGTTGGCCTGGACGTCACTACCGAAAGTCAGGAACCCCATTAGGCTCAGCAGCAGGTACAACAGCACCAGCGCTACAAAGGGAGCACACCGGGACTGATCAGGAACAGCACTTTCTCAGACGAGCGCCATTTGTACGCTTAGAGACTTATGTCATGCACTGGTGGACCCTTTCAGGACTCAGCAGCAGCACGCATCCACTCAGATAAACAAAGCACTAGACGTGCAGCGCTGTGGGTCTGTTTGCGCTATACCAGCTAGAAGGCGAGACATGTGCGTGACGTCATCGGCAGTGGATCCGCCACTCGCTCCAAGTGGGACACAGGATAAAGCTCGACAAAAGACACAGAAAAACGCCTGCGTCAGCGTTCGACTGGAACTTGGTTGATGGCTTAAACTGGCTGAGAGGACCAATTCCAATCAGTGCTCCCATTCGCCTAAATAGCCAATTTGACTGGAATCTCTAATTCGGCTAGAGCCCTCCGATTCGGCTAAATGGCCAATATGGCTATAGAAGCTTCAATTTGGCCGGATGCTTGAGTTTGTCACGAGCATCTCGATTAGACTAAAATGCCTAATTCTTTCTCACCGATGGTGGCGTAGACTACGGCGCCTGAAAACCGTGACGTGTCCTTCATGTCGTTCTGGACCGTGGGGAACATGCTCGCTCCGCTGTACGAAAACATGATGGTGCCGAATCCTCGAAAGAAGCCTCCTACACTCAGCTCGCTGCGTCGAGGCCCCGCCGCCGTGCCGCCAAGTATCCGGGAGCAGCAGACGCCTACTACCATAAAGGACGCCAACAGTATGGTGCCCAGGGCTCCGAAGGCGGCGAACCTGCGGTGGGGACAGTTCGGACTAACTCAAAATCAGTTGTTCCCTATTGAAAACAACCCTTCAGCCCTGATGTGTTATAGGACCCTCTCAGCCCTTCAAATCCGCTCAGCCCTTGTATCCCCTTTAGACCCTTCAGACCCATCAGTTTTTTTACTATTTTCGGACTTTCAGACACCCTAAGACTTTCAATCCTTTAGACGCTAAATGACAGTGGACCATAGACCAAAACTGCAGTTATTGAACACGTCATTCGAAGTTTGTTTTAGACATTGAGTTTTACATGCAAGCTAAAACTCAGCAAGACGATAATAACGAGCTTGTACTCAAACCCGGGCGCAAACAGCTCTAGACAGAAGCGAGCCAACCGAATAGCGGCAAACGAGTTCTTTGTCGCCAAAAATATATTTCGAGGTACGATGCCCCTGTGTAAATTGCTGAGGTGTACAGTAAACTAGCGGATTGTGCGGGTTGGTAAATGTTATACATTATGAAAACAGAAGTGAAGAAACAAACACGACAGGAGAAAGCTGTACTCGTAACTAAACTTTTATTAGTGAAAAAGACAGAAAGAAAACCGCGTATCCAAAACAGATGCCTCAACATTGTATTTTTCTGTCTTTTTTACTAATAACACTTTAGTTCCGAGTGCAGTTTCCTCCTGTCGTGTTTGTTTCTTCACTTCGACTGCGTCGTTTATGCTGTTTTCATCATGTATGTACGGTAGTTCAACTCTTAAAACCAAGCTGGTGCACCACACACACACGCGCACACAGACACGCACAAACACACGCACAGACACACTGTAACACGTTTAGCGGAAACCCCAAACACGAAACCAAAATCCCGTCGTTTATGAAATGCTGAGCACGGTCACGGTGCCGTTCCTGGTGCCGTCGCGGTGGCATCCGTAGCGTCTTTGTCTCTCGTTGGACGAACTTCTGAAGTCGGAGAGACCAATAAGCTGAAGAGACCAGGCACTGACATATCTTCTCTTTAATCTGCACATTGAGATATATCCACGCGTGGGACTGGAAGCCGACACTAAGCGACCGTTCAATGCGGCCGTCCTATTCAAAATGGCCTAGTGGCTCAAGTAACGTCAAGGGTTGGGCTAGTTGGTATTCGTTGAACATATTATAGGAACAGCGAAAGAAAAAAGGAGGGAGCAGAATAAACACGCAAACAAGGCGAGCGCCTACTCTCAACTGAAGTTTTTATTTTTCAGCTTTCAGTTTTCAGATTAAAAAAATTGAAACAGATATGTTCTAGGGTGAAACCTTAGAGCGGAAGGCATGGGCGTACCAAACGGGGGGGGGGGGGGGGGGGGGGGCAAGGGGGGCGCTTGCCCCCCCAGTTGTCAGAGTGGGGGGGCAAGGCATGTGTTTTGCCCCCCCCCCTCCCCCCCCCCCCCTGAAACAGCCGCCACTGGGCAGGGTTAACACTAGCCAACGGCGCACAAAGGATACTGAGAGCACCGCGCCCGGCCCTGGGGGGGGGGGGGGGAGGGGAAGTTTGGTTTGCCCTCCCCCCCCACTCAAGAACAAGTTGGTACGCCCCTGGCGAAAAAGTTCTCAGAAAAAGTGCAAAAAAAAAAAAAACCACGCGAAGCCGGTCGTAAGTAGAGAGCCTTCATGTACGCTTGACTGTGCGCTTTGCTAGGGTGATGGCATCCTTTGTAATACCACTCACCGACAAACCAGCAGCCATTTTGGTTCTCGGCGATAATCCGTGGGGCTTATAACCCTCCGAGAAACGAGCACCTTATCTCACAAGTTCAAGAGCAGCGTTGTGGAACCCACGGAGGGAGGATTAGCATTTTCCCCCTCGGATGGGGGAACCGATGGACACAAAGGCCACCTTCCGGCGCACGGTGAAACAATGAGAAGAATAAAATGGCGGTAGAAGAGGGTGTGGGAAAGGGAAACAGGCAGTTGGCATCACTCTATGCGAAGCGCACATAAAGCGCGAGACACATGGACGGCAGAGTCGTCCGATCCGACGTCCGATCCGACAGTCCGAACGCCGCTCCGAATTGCCGCACGCGACAGTTTGAGACACACGCTTCCCAATCCGTTCGGCTCCGCCCACGAGATCCAAGCACTCCATCGGAGGTTCGCGTTCATAAATCTCTGGTCCCAGGTTGACGGTTTAGCTCGCACGAGCGAAGTTAGGAGCTCGTTCTCGCTGGCGCGTGCATTCTCTGCCGGGGCCATCTATTTCGAATGGGTCAGCGGGATCCCCACGCGTCCGGCTTCCCGTCGCCCGTCCCGTTTCCTTATTCGCCCCGCCAGACCCAGTACGTCATCATGACGTTCGCGCTAGCTGTGCTCTCATTGGCTGGACGCATCCGACAATCCGTCCGCCGTGCGTAACTATCTGGCGCGTTGAGCGCACGTCGGATCGCCGATCCGACGCCTGAAGCGCGAGACACATGCGCGAAAAATCCATCCGATCCGACGTCCGATCCGGCAATACGACTGCCTGATCCGAAAAATTTGGTCGCTTCAGACGCCGGATCGGCGATCCGACGTGCGTCCAACGCGCCAGATAGTTTCGCACGGCGGACGGATTGTCGGATGCGTCCAGCCAATGACAGCACAGCTAGCGCGAACGTCATGATGACGTGTTGGGTCTGGCGGGACGAACAAGAAAACGGGACGGGAGACGGGAAGCCGGACGCATGGATCCCGCTGACCGATTCGAGAAAGATGGCCCCGGCAAAGAATGCATGCGCTAACGAGAACGAGCTTCTAACTTCGCTCGTGTGAGCTAAACCGTCAATCTGGGACCAGAGATCGGTGAACGCGGACCTCCTGGGAGGAGCCGAACGAATCGTCGTGTCGCATGCAAGGTCGGAAGCGTGTGTCTCAAACTGTCGCGTGCGGCGATTCGGAGCGCCTTTCGGAATGTCGGATCGGACGTCGGATCGGACGATTCTGCCGTCCATGTGTCTCGCGCTTGAAGCGACCAAATTTTTCGGATCAGGCAGTCGCACTGCCGGATCGGACGTCGGATCGGATGGATTTTTCGGGCATGTGTCTCGCGCTTGAAACACCCTAGTCGTAAGATGCTCTGGGGGGTTGTGTACAAAATCCTCCTCTCGTGTAAAAAGTGTTACGACGGCAAGGTGTAAAGTGTTAATATTGACTCCTGTCAATATTTTTGACTTCGGGATTAGTACCGTTTTCAGCTAAGGCAGTGTCCCTGACGTACAAGGTATAATTCTTTTTTCGATATTGAGTGCACTTTTATAAACATCAAGGCTCAAAATTTGTTTTCGGGCGTCTACGGCAAAACCGAAACTATCTGCCGGAGGGATGGCAACACTGATCATCAGCAGTAAGGGCGGAAATCATCTAGGGAAAATTTAATGATGCACAACTAACTAGCACAGTTGGGGACGGGCGGGACAAACAAAACTGGGAACTCCCTCCCGCGTGGCTCCGGCCAAAAGTCTCTACCCTGTCCCCCTGTGGGTCCTGTGCTGGGGTAAGGCCGACAAGCCGACAAGGACTGACCAAAGGAGACTTGGCGACTCCCTTGCCGGGGGGAAGAGGTGGGGCGATGTTTTTGTTTGTTTTTGTTGACCGATCCTCCCGTAGGTCGTCCTGGTGACATGCCACACTGCCTGGTGATAGGGGGAGAAAATTGCCTTAAAAGGGCGGGAAGAATCATGTTTGGCGGCGCAAGCCACCATCCGTTGCCAATGGCATAGCCATCAGCATCCATCCATCTATCCAGTGGCGACGTGACGTCACATTGGTGCTGCGGTACGCGGTATAACCAATCAACCGCAGCTCTACCGCGACTTAACGTCACAGGGGTGCTGCGCCACCCCTACAAAAATATGTATGGACGTCCTATGTCCATACTTTTGCCGTTCTATTACCCCTTTGTCCATCCTATGGATTCCTGTAGACAGTTCTTAGACCGTCTATGTACCACTGGTTTGCCACAGAATGGACACAACAACGCTATAGAGATCTTCGCGAAAGAAAAAGTTTTTCCTTCCTTCCTATTTCCGTTCTATGGACCTGGTGAGTCTATGGACATCCTATTGCCTCTCTATGGTGTGAGCTATATATTGGTACATTAATAAAGTGATGTCGGGTAGACGTTTTCTTTAGGTGTAGCGAGGTGTCCGAGTTAAAGAGTTGTTAATTAAGTTCCTGGTATCAATATGTTACATTGATGTCTGGAGGCATATCCAACCTCAGGGTATATTCATTGTGGAGATGGAAGTGTTTAGTATAGTGCCGGAATAATGTTTTTACTTTCTCAGTGGGAGGTAGATAAATGTGAGTCGCTGCGGCCCCCGTAGATATTCGCAACTTTCACAACCCATAGGGGGCGCACTGGTGCCTATCAAAATTGCGGTCATCTAGATGATCGTCGTAAAACAGCGGTATACTAGGCTGGGTCTGCGCGCGACGCGTAAGTAATTCTAGTTATGCTGTATGCGCGCAGTATCAAAACCTTACTTTATGTTGTTTTTTTTTCACGTCAGGAAAGTGTAGGCAAGCCATTTTATTATGAGGCCAATCATCCAGGAGCTAGGGAGTGCGATTCTCACACCGCGGTACCACCATCGCTTAAAGTGGCTTCTCTATGGACCCTGTAGGGACTCCATGCAGACCCTGTATGGCTTCTCTGCAGACTTCATAAGGAGCCCGCGTAGACCCTGTATGTCTACCCTGTGGACCCTGTATGTCTACCCTGTGGACCCTGTATGGCTTCCCTGTGGACCCCGTACGTACTCCCTATAGACCGTCCTTGTATGGCTTCTTTGCAGACCCCTAAGGACCCTACACTCTTTAAAATGACTTTTACAGAGCACGTTTTTGCGTAAAAACAAATGGGAAAAAGCTCTTTCTGTAGAAACCTTTATTGGAGATAGTACAAAATGACAAGGGCGTGATGTTTGCATACACTTTTAGCTTACAGGGTTTTGCGGCACAATTAATATTTCTTTTGTACAGCCATGCCTCACCAACGACTTCAGGTAGCGCGTCCCAACTTGGGTGCGTCCTAACTTCGGTTGCAATTCGCGACACGTCCGCCTGGGAGACGGGGGTTGGCATCCCTGAAACCCCTCTCCCGTATATGTTTCGGCGCCAAAGTGGCCGATTAAAGCCAAAGCAGAACAGTCACATGCTGTCGAATATCGATAGTCCTAAACCAGCTCACGCGGTCGTGCAGTTGTCCGAGTGGCCTCTGCGGGTGGAATGGTGGAGTTGCGATCGCAATTAGTTCGGTTTTCGAGTACAGATCGGTGCCGCTTTTTCAGAGCAAGCTCTTTAGCATTTCCCAACTGACTTGCTCTAGAAACGTTGGTCGGTGCGGACCCCGTAGCAGACCCCCTGAGTGGCTTCTCTGCGGACCCTGTAGGGACTCCCTGTAAACCTTGTATGGCTTCTCTGCAGACCCCATGAGGACCCTGTGTAGACATTGTATGGCTTCCCTGTGGACTCCCTAGGGACTCCTTGTAGACTTCGTATGGGTTTTCTGTAGGCACCCTATAGACACCGTAAAGACGCTGTGTAGACACCCTATAGAGCCCTATGGACTCTATATGGCGTCTTACCATAGAGAGGGCATAGGATGACCACACAACATCCATAGAATAGGACGTCCATAGAACGTCCGTTGGCCAATATTCTATAGGGCAGCCATAGGACGACTTCACGGAGGCAACAGAGGTTGTGGTCTGCCTATAGACGCCTTTTGTTCTGCCTATGGACGCTGCTCTATAGAACGTCCTAGAAGTGTCCATACATATTTTTGTAAGGGCAGTGATCCTTGACCAAAAAGTAACCCGCTCGCCGCTCGCTAGAAAGCAGTTCATCGCGTCTTTAAAATTGGTATTAGTGGAATACGCAGCCTCACTTTGACGTGATATTTTGGCTGTGATCATATTTTATGACACTAAAGCGATACCAGTCATTTAGTTTGGTTTCGTTCTAGGGCCGGAGTTGACAGCCTCAGCGAGCATAACTACTCTCTTGCTGCCACGGTTGAAGGGCATCTCTCGCTACACTGCCCGTGACACTGTGTTTCTTCCTAAAATTATAGCACCGTCCTTCGATGGCGCTACAATTTTAGGAAGAAACAAGTATAAAATGACGAAAAATTCGCTTGAAACTATTAACCTTGTCACTCTGAGGGACCAGTGCGTAAGTAAAGAGTCAATAGCACTTTCGAGAAAATATAATTGAATTGTTTTTCCGAAAGTGAGAGCTGGCGACGTGGTCATATGACGGCTACGGGGGTGATAGTGCGAGGGGTCTGACACATGTCTGACTGATAGTGCTTTTTTGTTTATTTGCTTTATTGTTCATCCTTTCTCTTTCAAGTAGTGAAAACTATGCAAGTCAGCGTTCGTCCTGTTAGCGTGTTTCTTCTGCTCCATCTGTGTTTTTATACTGTTCCTACATTATAACCAAGTGGTTCACTTCTTACCTTGTCACTATAAAATGCTATAAAAGACTATCAAAAAGACACGAGCATCACTATGGTGACTGGAATGCGCCTCAGACTGGTGTTTTCAGCGTCCTATATAGGCATTGCGCTAAAGTGGTCCCTAGGTGGCAAAAAATTACGTTTCTACAGAGCCGGTGTGACATGCTGTCGAATGTCGCGTTTCTGACAGTTAAACCTAAAATTCTGGCAAAAAAAAAAAAAATGCAAAAGCGCGAAATCGCTGTCGTCGCGGCGTCTCAACTCTTATTGGCTGCTAAAGCATCCGTGGAGGGAGCACCCTCCAGCAGAACAAGTGTCTCTCGCATCCACCACCGCTGCCGTACCGCCGCCAGGGTCGCGACGGAAACCGTATTGCACCTTTACGACCTCACCATGTGGAACTGGAGGAACCACGAATGAGGGAAGCGATAAACACACCAGTCGGAGACGCGTTTCAAACTCTGTAAGAAGTAAGTACGAGGAAACGGCACGATGAGGAATTGAATAGTGATCGTGCGCAGTTTCAGTCGGTGTTCCGGGACCGAGAACTGAAAGGCACTCATAGTTTTTCGTTATTGAAATATAAAGTTGGGTGGCCCATGGCAAAAGCGGTCCATGTCCACGCTGGATACAGGAGAGGGCAAAAGGCACGCAGCGTAAGGACACACTTCGGCGAACAGAAATGGTGCTGCTGCGGCGCATTGGCACAGGCGGAGCGGTGACTTCTAGCTCTCGGTAAAAATTAGAACTTTATGCTCTTAAAAAAGAACACCCCTACGCAGAACCACCTGACGCCCGCTGCAAGCTTTGCCAGGAGAAGGACTCTTGCCCCAGTTTACACCATATAGTGTGGAACTGCGAAGGTCTAAAAACGTACAGGTCGCTTTGTTCCATCTTTAGCAAGATGGAACAAAGCGACCGGCCAAGCAATCTCCAGGACTGGACGCACCTGGCGGGTGTTTCCCGACGAAAAACTGGGGTGCTCAGATTGTAGATGTCAGGCCGCCTAAAGAGATGTCAGGCCGCTTGATGAGATAGAGTATATCTCTTCAGGCGGCCTGACATCTTGGATTTAAACCCACTTCCCTATTTCCGCCAGATGATGACGCCAGGCCACAAGGTCAGCGCGTTGCGATGACTTCAGTCATCGGAGCTCTTTTGGATTTTTTTTTTTTCAATAAACCTTTCCATACATTTATTTTTGGCAGTCAAACTCACCCGAAGTCCTTAGGCGTACCAAGCCACATGAGGCCACCGAGGACGACAGCGATGGGGATGAGCCAGTAGCAGATGGACCAATCGAGGGTATCGTGGGACAGCTGCCGGGTCAGGTCGCTGATCAGCTCGCCAGCCAGCAGCAGGAACACCGTGCCGTAGCCGAACAGGCTGAGCAGCTGGATAAGAGACATAGCTATCCTGCGCAACAGAATTATAGAGTCCGTATATTAATTTAGAAGTGAGGGCCACCACCTTCTTATGCATTTCGGCCGCTTCAGACAGGCGGGGCACAGAGGTGGACATCGGCGGCCTCAATGGGCCCATAATGCAGGCAAGGCTTTAATATACATAAGCAAATCAGCAAAACATCCCTTGTAAGCTCTGTAATAATTTTTTTCTGGCTTACACAAGCTAAAAAAAAAAAAAAAAAAACCGGCGTGGCAGTATTTTTTAAACAAATTTGACTAGCACTCCAAGAACTTTAACTTGTCTTAACAAAACAAGCGTGCCTAACCTTTCATCTGCTTTCTTTTTTTTTTGCTGCTCTGTCGTTTTTTTTGTTATTTCTTTCCCGACCAAACATTAATGTCAGCGCTTACGGTTTGCCTGCTTCTGCTTTTACTCCCCTGCCCAGAATAAAAGAAAGGGAAAAAAGGGGGGGGGGGGTGCTGGGCGCCACCATATTCATTGGTTCTATTTTATCCCTGACGATATATGTCCTGGATCATATGTTCGGGACCTTACACTGCGAGACAGTTGTAGACGCGAGACCAATTAGCAGGGTCCTTTTGGTTCGGAGTCACTTGTGTCCACAAAACAATATATCCACGACCATAATGTACAAACAATTTGGTACGGCACAATGTTGACCGGGTTTATTTTGTCCGGGATCGTATGTGTCCTGAATAATATATTCGGTTCATTATGTTTGAGACAATTCTAGGCGCAAGACCATATTGACAGGGTCTATTTTGTCCGGGGTGATATCTGGGTCCACAGAACCACATACCAACGACCATACTCTAAAGACAGTTAGGTACGGCACCTATTGACCGGACGTATTTTGCCTAGGATCATATGTGTCCTGGATCACACGTTCGGGACCATATTGTGTGAGACCATTCTGGACGCGAGACAATATTGACAGGGTTCATTTTGTTCGAGACCATCTGTGTCGTGAAATATATGTACAGAGCCATATTGTGTGAGACAAATGTAAACACGAGACCATTATCACCGGGTCCATTTTATCCGGGACCATATTATGCGAGCCCACTGTAGAGGGGAGACCTACTGACCGGACCCATTTTTTTCTGGGATCATATATCCGGGAGGATATTGTGTGAAACAATATTAGACGCGAGACCATATTGTCCGGGCCCGTTTTGTCTGGGACCATATGTCCGGGAACATGCTGTATGAGACAATTGTAGGCGCGAAATCATATCCACCGGTTCATTTTGTCCGGGACAATATGTCCGAGACCATATTGTGTGAGACGATTGTAGGCGCGAGACTATATTGAGCGCATTTATTTTGCTCTGAACCTATATGCGTGAGTTCATGCTGACCTCCACCAGACCGTTGCGTGACCATTTCCCATACAAATGGAGAGCCTCACTTCATGGGCTTGCCGTAGGCCCGGAAAGCGATGCACGGGTAAGGGTTCCTGTTGGCCTCCCGGTACTCGAGCCAGCGCTCCTCCAAGATGATCCAGCACAGGCCCAGCCTGGAGCCGCCGTAGCCGGACGCCAGGGCGCACACCACAATGATGGCGGTGCCCGACCAGCCTGCAGGGGCCATACCACACGTGCGCCACATCAGAACGTCACACATGTACCGGACCTGACATACATTGTATTCGTCCCGACATGCTGTGTAGGGGATTGCCTGCTCACGTTAAGCGTTGTTCAAACAGGATACTTCAGAACACGTGAAGCGACACTTCACCGCCCTAAGAAGTGAAAGGTGAAGTCCGGCAGTTCGTCTTCTATTTGGACATCCACTAGGAAAATATCAGCGGTTTCATCCTGGCCTCCTTTGATTTTTTCGTGATGTCGATACTCCTCAGACGACGTCACACGCGGATGGACCGATGGATGTTAATGGCTATACTCTTTGTAACCAGGGATAGTTTGCTCCACCTAGCCTAATATAGTATAAAGTTGGGAGAGTTGGTGGTATATGTTTAAAGAAAAAATGAAAGTCGTTTACAAATCCCTGTAACGCCGAATTGGAGCGCAGCTCTTGAGGAGGAGTAGGGAAGGGTACTGAGGGGGTCACGTCACCTGCGGGTAGTCACGTGACCCCGGGGGGTCACGTGGCCTCGGGGGGGGGGGGGGTCACGTGACCTCAGGGGGGTCACGGGACCTCGGGGGGGGGGGGGTCACGTGACCTCGGATGGGGTCACGTGACCACCCCCCGGTTACGCCGACGCCGACGCCGACGCTGCTCAGGCTAGAAACGGGCCCCTAAGAGCTGCGCTCTAAAAGTAAAACAGCGCCAAAAATACGGAGGACAAGAAGTGTGTTTGCTTCCACTAAATCAGTTTAGAGCCAACGCTCTGTTTGTACACTTGGTCTTCTTGTCCTCCGTGTTTTTGGCGCTGTTTTACTTTTTCTTTAAACACCTAGCCTAAATCTAAAAATACAAATATATGATTCCTCCCGTCCTTCTAAGCAAATTTTCTCCTCCCAATTATGCCCAGGCACTGTGGGATAACACCAGGATAACCTTTGGGGATCCCCCCCCCCAAAAAAAAATAAAAACATCAACCCCTCCCCGCGTCTTCCCCCCGGTGAAAGAGTCGACTTTTCCCTCTCGTCAAACCTTGTGGGCCTCACCCCAGCACTGGACCCACTGGGAGACAGGGTCGAGATTTTTGGGCCGGAGCCACGTGAGAGAGAGTCCTCATTTTGTTTTGTCCCGCCTGTCGCCAGCTGTGCTAGTTGTGCATCGTTCAGTTTTGCCTAGATGATTTCCACAAATCTTCGAATCGCCTCATCGTGACTCCAGTCCTTTTCTCTTCCGTCCTTTCATCGCCCCCAGCAAAACCCGGGGCCCCGGCTGAATCCGTTACCCCTTCAGGGAGGGCAGGGCGAAGCGCCACGCACTTCAAAACCAAGTGCTTTAGGGTCTCGCTTTTATTATGGCTGGCGGTATATAATGCGTTTGTTTCCTAAAATTTAGCCATATACGTCCTCCTCATCAAAACTCCTGTTCTTGCCGAAAACAGTAAAGAACTTTCCAGTGAATTGTCAAATATATTTTCTTTTTTTAAGCCATGTTTTTTGTGACCTGTATACCCGCCAGCAATATGAAGGTGAACACCTTACCTGGTTTCTTGCCTGTTTTACGGCTCCCTAGAGCTATCTTAACTCTCAACGTCTCAAATGGTACGTGGCTAAGGGTCTAAACTTTGCGTTCTAGCCCTCTTCTGGAACAGAGCTTGTTCTAAAACTTGCAGGAGCGTCAAAAACAAAAAGAGGGCTGTTCCCCTTCATATCGCTCACAGGTGCAAATTGTTAGCGCTGATGTTTCCTGCATTATTTCCTCCTATATTTTTCTTTCTGCCTCTTTTATTTCTTTTCCACTAAAGTAGTCTGTTCAGCCTCACCACTAGTGTGTAGGTGTTTAAATGGAGGGTTTCGGGTTAGGTTTGCTCATTTTAAGTTTAAAATTTCATCTATAAATACTTGAACACAACCCTGCCCACCACGTATCATCTATTTCAGTCAACCTATGTTAAAATTTAAACTTACTAGTTGCTCCCTGATTTCAAAAGACGACCGGCCCATGCCACCATGTAATCCCTCATTTGGTGTCTTTTCACGTTCTCCTAGTGCCAATCCGCGAAACTCTTCTTTGTCGAATTTCTGATCCTGATAGAAGCTCTGATATTATGCACTCCCATCGCCAAAAGACAGTCCTGGTACCATCAGTTCTTTCTATATACCTCTAACCACTTCATATCTATTAAAGTTCCCTAGTACCTTAAGCTTCATAATAGATTAATTTCTTTTCCTTTTTCTAAATATATTCTCTTCATGTTTTTCTAGATATTTTCTTTCATCTTTGAGCCAGGCTCCCAGATATTTGTATATTCCTCCATGGTCCATTAAAATGTCTTGTATCCTCAGGTGTTCCCTCTTTTCGTCGTTAAACACCAATACTTCAAACTTTTCACTACAAAAACTCATGCCCAAGCTGTTCCCTTCCTCTCCAAATATTCCAGCTAGTCCCTGTAATATATCCTGGTTATATGCCATAAGTACTATGTCATCCGCACACATCTGTCCTGGTATTCCTGCATTACATTTCTCAATTTCTTCCATATAACTCACATCAAAACGTAAGTTGCTCTACTCTCATTTCTTTTCCATTTCACTGAGATATACGATGAAGAGTAAAGCTGACACTGGACAGCCTTGCCTGAGTTCTCTTTTTATCGCTGCGGGTTGTGTAGTTTCTGCTTCGCATGTTGTAACTACCTTATTGTCTATGTACACCTGCCGAAGAAACCTAACCAAATTTGTATCTAAATTATACTCCATCAGCTGACCCCAGAGTTTTTCCTGGTTCACATTATCGTACGCTTTCTTGATGTCCAATAAGCTAACCATAAAAGAGTTTGGTTGTTTATTACTATTTATATACATTCTTTGGTAACGAATAAGTTACCTTTCAGTCTCCTATCTCTTCGGAATCCGTCTGGGAGCTCACCCAGTTTTTGCATATCTTCTGCCCTCTCCTTTATTCTCCGCTTTACTATCTGCATAGCTAATCTGTATATAACTGAAGTTACTGTTACTCGGCGGTATGACCTAATGTTGCCTTTGTTTCCCCTGCCTTTACATATTAGTCTCATTTTACTTAGTTTCCAATCATTGGGTACTTCTCCTTCCACAATTATTTGACTAATCAGAAGCCGCAACTTCAATTTGCTTGTTTTGTTTTTTCAGTGTCTTTAATTTATGGGTTCCATTGGTATTACGACTGGGCCTGTCATTGTACCTGCTAAAACCTGACTTTCTGCCTTGTCCCATTCTGTTGTGGTCGTCTCCATTGTTACACTATTCTGCTCCTCGTCTACACTGCTGCTGTCAGTGCTATCCACTGTCCCCCTCTGCTCAAGTTGGGAGAAAGGCTCTTTGATTGAGTGCCTATTATATTCCAGTGGCCCTTTCCCTTTCCTTTTCTCCCCTCCTGTGTGGTCATTAAGTGTTGGAAACCCTGCGTTTTTCTCCCCTGCACTATAATGTGCTCCCAAAACCTTTTTGCCGCATTCCTATATTTTTATTTATTCACAAAATCCGCTGCACTCCTCCACTCCCAATTTTGACCATGATTAAAGCTGATGCCTCCTTTTCCCTCTCTTTCAAGTTCTCCAATGTTAATGCTCATTCAGCTGGCAACATTCCCCTTTTCTTTGCCCCACTATGCTCCCTAGATGGCTCTTGGCGCCGCAATATGTCTGCTTTGACTTTCTTATCCCACCAGCTTTGTGGTTTGTGTCTTCGTTTTTGCTTTCATCTTTGTTTAATTAGATGCTTCTCTAATTTTCTTTTAAAGATTTCTGTTAGATAATCATACGTCCATTCTCTTTCTGGTTGTTCCGATACTATATTCTCATGCTTTTCGATACTTTCTGTATTTGAGCTTCACTTAGTTTCGGGTTACGTGCACTTGTTCCTGAGCTTGCTGTTCTGATTCGGATGCGCCAAATTTAATCTTAACTCTTTTGTGATCCCTCCCTAAGCTTTTTGTACCTTCCTCATCTATTTCCATACTTCCCAACCTGTCATACAGGTCCTGGGACATGAGGCAGTAGCCTATTGTTGAGTGTGAGTTTTTTTCTTTCTCACGTTATTTTCCTGTCGTATTTTACTTGTGCCTTAACTAACACTACGTCCAGGGTATCACAGAAATCTTCTAAGAACTTTCTGACTGTATCTGTGAACCCGTAAAACTCTTCAAAATGGAAATTTATGCCTGCTATGATAATTATTTCCTGATTAAGGCCAATTCTTTTTATATGCCTAGATATACATGTAAATTGTTTTGTATTTTCCTCCCTTGGACCATTTCCTGTTTTCAGGCATGCAAACGCCAGAACAGTGCTCAGACCTAGTACCCTATTTTTCAGCCATAAGTGTCCTTTGCAGCTTTCCTTCTTTCTTTCCAAGTCTTGTCCTTTAACTAACATGCCTAGACCACCGCCTTAGCGTTCACCTCACCTCCGGTTGCATTCCATCCAGGAGTGGGATGGTATGTATACGGTGGTTCCTCCTCCTCTCTAAGGGGCGTTTCCGCTACTCCATACACTGTGGAATATTCAGCCTCTAATTGTTTACCAATATCCTCCCACCTAATACTTTTTCTACCTCCCTGCACGTGTATGAACCCTACATTGAGCCGAGCCGAGCGCGGCTTGCCCCTGGTGTGTTTGTTGCCTGGCCGTCCGTTCTGCCGCGCCCTCGTACCGGTCCTTTCTCTTTCCCATTTTCGGGACCTGAACAGAAGCGGAGGCCTTAAACAATTGACTAACAGCCCACACAGCGTGTGAGTAGCTGTCCGAACACAAGTGATGAGCATGCTGTAGGCCTTCATGGAGGACAGAAGCGGACGTCGGCGGAAGGAACTTCCTCGGCAAACGAACACGGACGGAAGCAGACCCCAGGCTTCACGCGTTCTGAAGTGTCCTGTTTGGACAGTCAATTAGACGACTTGGAAATATAGGTATTACTTTCATAAGACAGTTGCCTGAAGGGCATTAGCGTTCTCTGTTTTAAATATAGAGCATTTTTAGGGCCAGCTCTTAGTGCTTTTGAGTCCATGCCTGGTGTGTAGCCGCGACGTCGCAGTCGCGCGTACCTCGTGGTATGGCTCACCTGACGTCACGTACGTGATACCATGTGGTACTATGACACACTGACGTCGTGTGAGATTGTGACGTCACGTCACGTAGTCACGTGACCTAAGTTAACGTGACCAGGTGCTCTTCTTGAATATCCCTTGCAGAGTACCTATAGGTGGTGTTCAAAGGACGCCATATTTTAGGTGACTGCTCACAGAGCATGCTCGGGATGAGTTCCTATTTATGATCTCCCATAGAAGACAATCCTGATGGTGTGCAAGTTGCGTCTTGGAAACCTTCTGCAAGCCTGCCGTAAGCACGGGCTCAGCAGCAGCGAGCTCAGCTATGGCCACCAGTGAATACATCCTATAAACGCTACGCACAGAGCGCCTTTAAAACGTACTAAAACAAACGGGTGATTTCGTTTATTCCCTTCTATATTTTTGGCACTTTTGATGTTTTTAACATCTCTCTTCGAGGTACGTCAGCTCTGCAAGCAAGAATGTCCGGCCGAAGTCTACTTGGCGGCCACGAGCGCGTCTGTCCGCCACTCACCGGTCTCGTTCATGGCGTACGGCAGGGCGAGGGTACCGATGCCAGCCACGGCCCCGATGACAAAGATGACCGCTAGCCACTGGGACAAGCCCTTGGCGCTCGGGCACTGCGCCGATTCTCCCATGGTCTCTGGTGACCACTCCTCTGCGAGGCAAGGGAGGGTCTTGAGCCTCCGGCCTTCGGGTGACGAGGGAATTCCCCCATACACCGCGAAGAGGAGGTGCCGTCCCGTTATGGCACACGACAGGAAAATGTAGGTTAAAACGTTTCCCAGCGGTCCCCCACAACCGGAAAAGGAAGATTCGCTGCTGATAACGACAAGAGCAAGGATTGGGGTCCGTATCGTCGGTTTCTCACTGATACACTCTTACAATCCAAAAAGGGAAGGAAAGAATGGAGGGGGGACAGAAAAAGAAGGCAGGCAGAGAAGTTAAAGGGACCATGAAATGGCCTTTTTACTTTTTCCAGATAACTTTTACATTAAACCGTCAATGTTCACTGAATGCCGAACAGGCATCCGTTTTCGTTTCGGTTTATTAACTTCTACACAAAAAATTAATGAAACATCGACCTTTTCTTTCTCTCCAACTGAACGCAAAACAAGCCGGGACATACGCTGTTTCCGGAACCGGAAGTTCTCTTGGCAGTAGGAGAATGGGAGCGTTAGCGGCGACGAGTTGGGGTGCGCCGGTAGGTTTTACAGCGCTGATGTCACCGACGTATTTTCTGAATCGTCGCCTCTCATCGCCGCATCGCAGCTGAACGAAATTCAATGAGATATGTTGGGCTACAGCGACAGCATGGGACTAGTCCCATACGCCGGTATGCCTGTTGGGAAGTGCAGCGAGTCTTCCGCTGAAGACTCCAGAAGTCAACCCAACTGTCATTGTTGGTAAAAGGCGGCCCGTGTCAGTCGTTTGCAAAGCGACGTAGATGGAAACAAATTGTCGCGGCGTTTTTCGCGGCCTCGGAGATGCAGGAGCGAGCCGACGTTAAAAAAGATACGTTTGAACTACGAGTGTCAGCAAGAGCCCCGTAAATACCTGTTCACATTTGGAGCGGACGCGCGCGTTTGATGGAAGTGCTGTATTCGCGCTGTTGGTAAGCGCTTCGGGACCGATCTTTTACGATTGCAACTCGATACTGACGCGACACTCGGCAAAGAAAGGTTGGACCGGCATTGCACGTCCCCCGAACTGTTATAGCTCAACAGTGACGTGCAGTCTGTCAAAATAAAAATGGCATACCAATAACAAAGTGTACATACCGTGTTACGAAGGTAATCCATACGGCGTTTATTTCACCTCTATATCACACAAAACAAGAAGATAAAATCGACGAGAGTCCCTTTTCGACGAGTGTTCGTCAACACTGCCTCGGAAAACAAGGAAAAGAGATTGACCTCACCTCTTAATCTAAAAGTGAGGTCAGCGGTCAAACTATAATACGGGAAGGGTCCACAAGGGTAGCGCGGGCATATTCCATTCAGCACGCCAGCCGGTCGTAGGCAGACGGTCTTGCGACGAAGCAACGCTGCGCCGAGTCGGAGTGCCTGCTAGGCCTATATTCTGAGCAGCTCGCTTCGTCGGAGTCGGTGCATTCGTGTTCGTTGTCGCTTTTCTCGGGTGTTTGTGGATCTAGCGTTCTTGTTCGTCGTGGTCTGTTTTAAGTACTTTTTTTCTTGCTGCTTGAAGTCGGCACGCGCGAGAAGAACACGTAGAAAAATAAACGTTCAGTCAGTCAGAGTTTTGAGAGGAAGGAAATCAAAGGAAATAACGTTCGACGGTCGTCGCGACCCAAGCGACCCAAGTAACTGAAGTCGGCCCTGCCCTACTGCGCACGCGCAGTAGTTGCTTCGTTTACCACACGATAGATGGCGCTTGGCTCTTAGCATTATCAAATTTGGCAATTTTCGCCACACATCTCTAATTATGCTACAAAATGTGGATCTGAATATTATTTAACAAAACTTTTAGGAAACATTCGCCGGCACCGGGATCCTAATGTTTAGGATCCCGGTGCTGGTGAGGTAGGCTCTTACCGAATAGGCGACGTGGATTCGGCTGACGTGCTCCGTTTCCGCGGATGCATCGTAGTGAAAAGGCAGAAAGCTTTCGAAGGAAAGGCGCAAAAGAGTCCAGTTTTCTTTTAAAAGTTCTGTGGCAAATAATTTTTTTAGCTCCCTATTTTTGCGTTTCTTTTCACACCTTTTACGACGTGCGGTGGATGAAATTCGATTTTAAAATCATTTCATGGTCCCTTTATCCTAAGGCAATAGAACCTTTTCAAAAGTGCGCGCCACCCAGTGGCTGCTGTGCCAATTATGTGAATCCGCCATTGTTTGGGCACGTATTCTGAACAGGTATTAGACAGGAGGCCTCCGTCAGTGTTCGCCGATGTCTCGAATCCAATCCCACGCTTCGTGCCCCAGAAATGGCGACGGCCAATGTTGCTCGATAAGGCTTTGAAAAGGGTCTATTGTCCCGGTTGGCCACGCTGTCCTGGAGAAGAGGAATGAGAGGGTTTAAGTCGATACCTCGTTAAAGGCATATGGAAGTAATGAATAAGAAGGCATAAATACTAACAAAACCTAGCTGCCTGCTAACTTCAGCACCTTTCCATTGTCTCGCTTTCTATAAAATAAGGAAGCATAGTGTTACTATCCAAACGATCCCCAACTCCCCAACGAATTATTAACAGGCTGTAAAACAAAATAAAAACCAATATGACCGAATCAATATTCTCGGTTTCTCGTTCAGATATATATATATATAACACTTACCGTTGTTTTTACAGTATTAAGAATCGATGGTATTACGGTTTATAAGGAATTAATGGGTGCATGCTTTGCTACGTGGATTTTAAAAGGTGTTCTATGCAGGGGTTCTGAGCTGGACACTCGGCGAAAACGGCGAGTTTTTTGACGGTCGCGATTGGTCAAGGTCAAGCGCAGCGCTAGCCAATCGCGGCGGTCAGATGTCGGGCCGACATTCTCGTGGCATGGCAGGATACTTAGGGACCCAGATATCGTGTTCTATCTACACTTTGTCAACTGGTTTCCACCATGCCAATAAATGTTTTCGTGTTCTGTTTTTTTCTTTAGTGTACGTTATACAGCCGATCAAGAGAAGAATCAGAACCCAACTTTTCAACACGCGCATTGGAAAAAAAAACAAAAAAAACGCTTCCCAGAAAGTTAATTTTTTTTTTGTGTGTGAATGTGAGTTTATCGGTGGTGATATCATGCGAAAGGTTTAGAACATGACGTTACCTGAATCAAGATACAACGCAGAAAAACAAAATTTCTATATAACCACTTCAGTCTAATGTCCATCAATCTAGGAAATGGCATTGCGGCTGTCTTAAACATCTATTTCAAAGAGAAAAAAAAAAAACAGCGAGACATTTATTAGTATTTTTTTCTTGGTGACAAATCTGTTTCGTTCAAATAAATGCCACGGGTCATGTCGAATGTCATTTCTTGGCATGACGGCTTAAGTAACACACACTACCGCGCACTACTGCAAAATCACACTTACACCGTACTCTCACTCTTTAGGAGGAGTGTATGGTATGAGTGTGCTTTTGCAGTAGTGCGCTGTATACTGTGTGTTAATATAAGCAACCAAATCACCCAAGCTGCTACGTTAACGGCCTAAGTAAATGTCGTCTTATATGGAAATATAGTTTCTCTGCTTTATGTCTATCTTTTCTGCTTTAACCTATTCGCGTCATGTTGCCAAACATCTGCATTTTATCTACACCTACTAGTGTCACATTCGCACCCATTTCCAGCTTTCTGCTATGCGTATTTTATTTATGCGGAACGAAAAACCAGGTTTCGTTTTCTGAGACGTAGTGTAGAAGCTATATGTCGAATTTCTTTTAAATATCCTCTCATCAATGTTGCCATTCATTACTGGACAGTTCAGCAATCAGCACCGTGACAAGACCAGACAATGACAGACAAAAGCAAATAATTCCCGCCGTGTTCCCGACCCGGCCAAGGAGGTTACAGAACAGAGCGCCACCCACCACGTGCTGCGTCTTGATTGGCCTCCCAGCGAGGGTCGTCGGTCAGTGCTTGCAACTTGATAAAAGAGACGCTGTTGGATTCCATCTCACGATTCGTTAAGCGTACCATGACAGGTTGTCGATTCCCGGTGACGCCGAGATGCTGCAAATTCAGTTCCTATGTTCTGTAGCAGTTCGGAGGAAAGGTGCCTCTCCCAACCAACACGCTGTCCGGCTAGGAATCCGGAAACAGAGGACGGTTAAAAAAAAAGATAGGACAGAGGTTTATAACAGGAGTCTGAGATTATGCTAACTCTCACCATGAAGGTAAAGAGGTGTTCGAGAGATTCACCCGTGGCTTCACCCTTACAACATACGTAATCGTAATATAGGGTACCGGTGTACAAATAACCCCACCCCCCCCCCCCCCCCCCAAAAAAAAAAAAAAAAAAAAAAAACCATTAGCACTATTCGACACGCGTCATTTGAGTTAAAGGCCGTTTTCTTTGAGATGATTCCTTGGAAGAAGGTGATCTGAGCCGTGCCCTTCGTTAAATCTCCGCCCAGAAGCGCCCAGCTCTCGTTGCGACGACGGAACACGTGTCCGCGTGAGCATCGACATAAGTGACCGCGCTAGTATACGGACCGGTGCAGCCGCACGACACCGTATCCTCCTCGTGCGGCAGACGTATACGGCACCCTGTCACTAAACGATAGCGCGAGGACGATCTTCCCCAACGAGGAATGCAAACTATACGCGGGCAACGCGACACGAGTTTCACAAAACACGACATCGGCACTTCTATGTTATGTTTCACATTTCTTTAAGGCTGGTTCGCACGCTTGTAACTGTTTACTAACACGTGCCTATAAACCTATTAAATATTTCCCGCGTCACATCCACGTCACATCCGCGTCACATCCACGGCCACGTCACATCCACGTCAAATCGACAACGTATATATATATATATATATATATATATATATATATATATATTGTAGCGAAGACGACGCTGTGCAATGGGACCGGTGAAGAAGACAACGATCGCGCGCCTTTTTTTGATTCTCGGCTAAGAGGCTGGGCAGACGGTAGTAAAAGCGGACCTGT